GCCCCAAAAGTAGCCCGCCAAAGCAGCCCCCAACAGCGGCCCCCACAGCCGCCCCCACCTTGCTCTTGTCGTAGTAGGCCTGCTGCAGCGTGCTGCGCCAGAATTCGCGCGACCGCACGGCCGCGCGCAGGCCCAGCAGCACCAGCGGCCGCAGCAGCAGGATCAGCGCCACCACAGCATACAGCATGACCGTCTGGTGGGGCCGAGAAATTGCATGTTTTGGTTTACCGTCAGGTTTTGATGGGAGGGGTCGCAGAGGGTACACAGCAAGTGTGTGCAAGGTTGGATAGGAAGTGTTGAAGGGTGGGGGAGGGGGGCGTAAGCGGAGGGTGAGCGGATGGCACGGAGGGGCAGGAGCGGAGGGGGAGAAGAGCGCGACAGTGCCGGCTGCTGTGGGACCACCCATCGCGGCGTGGGCGGGGTTGCGGGGCGAGAGGCGGGGCTGACGCCCCTGCTGCTGCGCACAGGGGCGCCCCTGGCCGCGGTCGGTCAGGAGGGCGCCGTCGCCGCCGCTGCCGCCCAACGCGCTCTGGGTTGGAACAAGTGGTGTGTGCAGCCTCGCACCCACGAGCCTGGGTAGCAGCGCTGCCCCTCACCTGCATGAACACCGCGAAGCGCCCCGCCGCCTTCCTGACGGCCCCCGGCGTCCGGGGCGCCGAAGGCGCCGCGTCTGCCGCGCCGCGCGCCACATAATACGCCACCTCGGACCCCTCCACGCGCGCCGTGAACCCGCCGCTCCTGTTCAGCCCCTTGCCCGCCGCCGCGCCGCCGCCGCCGTTTCGCGGCGGCGCCGCTCCGGGCGCGGGGCTCTGGCCGAGGGAGCCGCGCGGGGCGAGGCCGCCGGCCGCCTCGGCGGCGCTCTCCAGCTCTCTGTCAAGGTCGCTGCTGCTGCCGCCGCTGCTGCCGCCGCCCTCGCTGTCAGAGGCGCTGCCGGACGCGGGTCGGGCGGCGCCGTCTGCGCCGGCGTCCCCGTGGGCGCGGGAGAGGGCTGAGTCATCGTGAAGCTGCTCGAGCCACGCCTGCTTGCCGCCGCCTGCCCCGGGGCCGACAAGGATGGCCGGCGCCACCAAGACGAGGGCCGAGTAGTCGCCCGGGTGGCTGATCGCCTCGAGCGCCGCGCACGCGCCCCCGAGGGAGTGGCCGACGAGCACGCGCCTCGCGCGCGCCGCCGGCG